TTTATATTTTAAATTAACAATAATTAATTATAAATAATTAACTATAATTTATTTAATATTATACATATTTTTTTCATATTCTCTACCGTTTGATAAATAGTTGTTCTGCGATATACTTATAAGCTTAGTATATACAGGTTGTCTGCAGATGTAGGAACACTAACTTACGAACTGATAAAAAATACAATTATGAAAAAAAAGTTTCAATAAAGATATGGTCCAAAATGTTTTCCCAAAAAATTATTATTGGAAAATTTTGTATACCATATTATTTCTCAGGAGTTTGGCACTTTTTCTAAACTCTTTTATATCTTGTTATTATCGAATTAATAATATACCGAGACTCTTCCTACATATGGGTATACCCCGTATACGTAAATCTATATAACAATAAGAGGCCAATTAAAGCATTCAAAGAAATTAAACATAATTTTATATCACTTCATTTCATCATTCAGTATAGATTGTACAATCAAATTCCCATTGTAATTATTATTAAAAAGCGCCTAAAATAATTGCAGAACGTCGAACTGCCGGAAACGTTTTCGCCAGAGTTACGCTCGCTGTTGGAAGGTCTACTGCAACGAGATATCAATAACAGACTTGGCTGCCGAGGCTGTGGCGCGGACGAGTTAAAAGAACACCCGTTTTTCAGTGGCATCGATTGGCAACAAGTTTATCTCCAGAAATATACGCCGCCACTTATACCACCGCGCGGCGAAGTGAACGCCGCAGACGCCTTTGATATCGGCTCTTTTGACGAGGAGGATACCAAGGGTATCAAATTGACGGATGCCGATCAAGAATTGTACAAAAATTTCCCTCTAACCATCTCAGAGAGGTGGCAGGCTGAAGTAGCCGAGACTGTGTTCGAGACAATCAATAATGAAGCAGACAAGGTATCAATCGTTTAAGCGCTTAGATCATTTTCTTAACTTCTCAACTTTCATCGAGGAAATCTCGAAGGGCAGAGCGCACGAATGACTCGACACAGATTGATTCTTCCAGAAATATATTTAAATATACTAATTCACAGCGATACGTGGTAATCGATTGCCAAGAAGTGATCTTTCTAAGTGGTCGATCAGGAAGTGTCGAGGACGGGTAAACTCATATACTCGCCCCACTATTGTATCGCAGCTCAAAAGTGTAACCGCCGCGCGGCGCATTCTCTTACAATTTTTCCTCCTAAATTGTTCTTTCTTTTTCTCGTAGTTGGAAAGTAAAAAAAAGGCTAAGCAAAAGCAACGATTCGACGCGGATGAAAAAGGTAAGGAACTTTGATGATTTTCTTGTGTTACGATATTTCAACCGAATTCAATTACTATTTTTACAATTGAGACTGTTTTTGTTACAGGATCAGACTGCATTTTACATGGTTATATTAAGAAATTAGGTGGCCCTTTCGCGAGTGCATGGCAGACACGTTACGCAAAACTTTATCCCAATAGATTAGAATTACACCCTGAATCCACGACGAAGCCTGAACTTGTTTTTCTTGAGCAGGTAAACTGAATTGACTAAGTGAAATAATAATTATTAAACGTAGTAATTAAATTGATGTTTCTCTATTTCTATTCATCGCAATTAATATTCAGATTTCCGATAGAAAGTGAACTTAAATTAAGAGTAGGGAACATGCGCAACAAATTTCAAGTAAATTCATAACGCTTTAGAAATGAAAGAAACAACAGTTGTTGAATTTAATAATTCTTATACAAGTCTTTGGGAAGAATTCGGAAGAAGCGATTTTAAAATTGATTCCTATATATATTCCAGAAATAATGCAATGCTTCAGTGTGTAGTTTCCTTTATAAGCAAGTAAAAGGGATGTAGAGCATCTCTCTCTTTCTCTTTTAACTACACTTTCAAAATCTTAAAAGTTGTTAAAAATAGAATTTAATCGATTCAATATTTGTGATAATCAATGGTGCACAGGATGTTGAGTAAAGAACAAATTTTAAGAAATGATTCTACATGAATCATTTGTTAAGCGTTTATGCTGTTATTTAGACTTTAAGACTTTTAATTAAAGGTTGAGTTGTTGCGTTAATCTGTAATATTTTGATTCTTAAAACTGTGTTTCCTTAAATTATATCAGGATAAAATCACGCTTAAAGTAATATTGAATAAAAGAAAGTTTTACAAAGGCTTCGTTAAAGCTTTGTTCTTTGTTAAATTCTACTGATTATTTTGAAATACACGAAGCATGGTATTTATTAAAAATAATAAGTTCTATTGATAGTTCAAATTTATACATTATAAAATTATATCGATTTTAATATTTCGACACTGAGAATTTTGAGAATTTGTTATATATGATGTCTATATGTAAATGTTTAGGTTGAAGAAGTCAGCGCAGATCTTCAGCACGTAAAAGGAGAACAGTGTATTGTCGTCCGTACGAGAGACGCAAAAATAGTACTTACAAATCCGGTAAGTGGATTCGTCACAGCGTATTTAAAATACTTATTTAGACTTTTACATTAATTTTGTAGATTGTCAATTTTGATCAAGCATTTTTGAATAAATCTGAAACAAGAATAAACAGAAACCAAAAGAAATTTGTTATGTAGCTTGAATTAAAAACATCTCACTAACGTACAGAAATTGACAATTTTCAAGAGTGAATTCTATTTTCAGGACGAAATTAGCCTAAGGGAATGGGCATTATCACTAAGATCTGCACACAAATGCTCGATGGAAATGTTGGGTAACATGGCAAAGAAAGCTGGTAAGATCTATTATGGGACTGAACGAGACGCAGTGATTCCAGCGATGCAGCGCTCCACAAATGGCAACTAGCCCATTGCTAAAACCTATACGCCGTCATCATACTTCAGTCCCACTGCCCCCTAGCAGAAACCACAACTTTTTTTATACTGAGAATCAACACAAAGAGATCTAAGAGAATTTCCAACGAGTGAATGACTGGCGACTGGGTGGCGACTCTCCCTGCAGCCGGCAACCCGGAACCAGAAATATCTAAGTCTCGGAACAGCCCCAAAGAAAATCTCCCTTTGATCGGCGGGTAGCGTCGCGCTGTATAGAGACTCTAGGAAGTAGTGTCGTACGAATCGTCACGTCGTTATATTTATACGTTAGCTGTATGTGCAATGTGGCGTAGGAACTAGCGACTGAACAATGCCCATCGACACCACGCGAGCGCGCGCGCGCGCACTCACGCAAGAATCTACACGAGAGACACGCACGCACGTACACACATACACGTACACACATAAAGAACACTCAAAATGCAACCGGTAGTGTATTATTGTTATATTAAATACGAAATACGCCCTGAATCCCGATTATACTTCTACACCGTTCTATACCGCTCGTTTACTTAATTTATTTACTAATGCAGGACGATTTTATATTGTCGTTACGTAAACGATAACACGCCCGCGAATTCGTTTATTTATTGTGTTAAAGGAAACAACAGGAAAATTTCGAACAGTTTGTACATTGTCGGCAGCCAACCGAGGATAACTGTAATAAAAACACTGTACGCTCGAGTGGATACAGGCAAGTTCGCTCCGGCAATAAAATTGTGCGACGAACGTAGATCTCGTCTACATTTCTTCATTCTGCTCAG